AGATCAAAAGCAAAAAGATTTGAGGCATTCTAACCAACAGGTTTAGCTTTTAGAGTTATTCTTTCATATTGATTGATTATTGTAGCTTTCTAGATTACAGTTTAGATAGTTTCTCTGATCTCCCCCTTATGCTAACCTTTCCACATTCAATATTTTTTTTCAAATACTGCATTTATATGAACCCATTGGGTATTATCTTTACTCTTATCATGTACTTGATGTGTTTGTTTCTAGACAAAGTCTTATTGATCTTCAACTATTTTATCTAATATGATATCTACATACACAGTCCTGCCATGCCATATATGTATATGTGTGTGTGTGTGGATTTATATTTAAAATGCAAAAAACAGTTGATTGAGTACTGATAAAACAGGTCTAGTGTGAGGAAAATGCATATGGCAGATGAAGGAAAGCCAAAAGTGAGAAGAGTAAGAGAAAAGAGATTGGGGAATGTGTTAAATTTATATCTGCTGTGTTTTCAGTTCTCGCCAGAAGAATAATGTAAGTTGAGATTCTCCGGCAAAGAAGCTTAAAAAAAATAGTCCGGTCTCCAGCACGAGGTCGTGTTTTACACTTGATTGCAGTCATGGGCTGATTTGTATGTTTTAGATGTAAGGTTTTTTGTGGTAGTTTGTTTAAGAAGTTTGTCATTTACTTTGGTTTTTGTCTTATTTTTCATTTGTAAATGTTTTCCCAGAAATTGGTTTGGTGGACAATAGCATTTTGTTCTTTTGATGAAAATTAACGTCCTATGTATTCTGCAATCTGACCACTGGCAATTGTACCAACCACATCCCCACATCTACTACTCTTAATTACATCTTTAAAAACAATAAAATAATTGCTATTATTAGAAAAGAAATCATGACAAATAAGTGTAAATTTTAAAAACTTATAATAAAATTTCATATTTTATTTTTATGTTTTGCATTTGAACCACAGTATATTAAATGCCCCATAAATAAACTTTATAGCTAACATTACATTAAATAGTTATGTCTTTCTGTTATTTTTGGTTTAGCCTAAATTTTGGTGGTCAAAAAAAAATTATGTTATTTTAAATTTTTTGTTGATGTGAATTTGGGAAAACATAAAAACAACACTTAGGGCCTAAATAACTCAGCTTTCTCTCATGGATGATTTATGTCAATGGATTAGTTCAATCCAAAACTTGAGCTAATAGATGTGATCTGAGAAATGATTCATAAGTAATTGTTAGCAGAGTTGAAGTTATCAAATTTTGAGGAGTAGGTATAGAATATATTTTTCTCAAATATAATAATACATAAATATGAAACCTAACATGTTATTTATGAATATTAAACAGTAACAATTAATATCATGTTTTGTGATACTTGCCTTTTTTTGAAAAAAGATTACAAATTAGCCTTTTCAAATTGTTTAAATTATAAATTTCTAATAAATGTCTTAAAAATCTATTAAAATCAAGAAAATCAAATACTGTGAACAAAGTAAAATAGTTATATTTCTATGAACTTTTTTAATATAGTAAAAATATATAATTCTGAAAAGAATAGTAAAAATAGTGAAATTGTAATAAAAATAAACTAAAAATCATTAATATTTAAACTGTATTTATTATTTCGTTCATTTGCTTACCCGCCCGTAGGGCGGGTCCGATCCTAGTAAAAATATAAAATATTCTTACAAGCAAATCGCGTGTTACTATATTATCATTCCTAGAAAAATAAAAAAAATATAATTGTGTGTAGAGTGATATCAACAATATTAAAGTACCTCCCTAAGCTCAAATGCGATGTAGTGATATCGAAAATATTAAAGTAGTTCCCAGCTTATCGCATGCCTCCTAAACCTAGCAACCCTTAATCTCTCACTTTGTAATTTCAGAGACGACATTACCGATCCCATCTTCGGCTTCGTACTTGGGGACAGTCCCATAAAAAGATTCACTGATCAGAAGATAGATATATAACGGGAATGATAAATCCTATCTAGGGATTCATCGAGAATCCTAAGAAAGGCAAATAAAGCCTAGAAGATGACTACAAATGTTTTTGATTGATTGATTCCCGTCATAAGATAAAGGCATACACATATAAGTGTTTCTAGTAAACCAAACTAAAACAATAAACCGGAATCATAAATGAAACTCTAAACCAGGGATAAACCATTATTCCTGTCACAAGTACGTTTATCATAAGCATGGATCATAAGTACGATAGTCGGTTGCTGCATATATATATATGCGTGTACCGTGTTGCATCTCGTTTATTTTTTCGAAAAGCATTGGCGAAATGATGAGATAAAGGAACTTGAATTCTGAAATGTTAGAAAGCTATTCATTCATGATGGTCTTAACAAATTCTTGGATCCATATTTCAAAATAAAAGCATTTCCCTTATAATGTATATGTTATAACTTATAACTATATAATAAAAAAATATCCTTATAATAGTTGTATGCATGTTTTATTCAATAAATCATTTCTCGTAACAATAAGTCTTTTATGATATTTGTACCACTAAATCTTCATTTAACTTATTCATGTCAATATATGTATCTGTCATGGTTTATAAACTCTTCAGCTAATCATGTTACTCTATCAGTTTAAGACATATTATCGGTTTTCAGATCTTGCGTGTTGTTTCATTATATATTTATTACTATAAAGTATAGTTTTCTCCCTCTTGGAAGAGCCACGTCAACAAATAGATGTAGGATAAGTTGACACGTGTTAATCTCTTGCTACTCTGCGTTTTATTAATAGAAGGCGACCATGTTGTTCGGCTTCGATTCGTTTATGGGCTTCACTTATGCTCAGTTAACCCAACAAATAAGAGATTTATCTTAGCATGTCGACACCCGCCGCATCCAAATTTAGGGTTTATCCCTCTATTTGTTCCTCGCTGTTCCAGAAATTCTCATCGTCAAGCCGTTGTGAAGAATCTCTTCCTGAGGTTATAATCACGTCGTTTCCTCTTCTCTAACTCAACCAAGCTTTAAGTAACAGATCCATGGCGTTAAACACCTTCTTTAATCCACCGACCACGATGAGTAATTCATTGACGATTTCTTTTCAGTATATTATTGAATCAACAGTTAATTTACTGATCGATTTTACCTCTATTTGCAGTACTCAATCTGTTTTTTCACCATTCTGCAACACCACGCCATAATGCATTGGGCCAGGTACGTTCTGTGACAAATGTTATAAACACTAGAAACTCTTGATTCATCTTTTGTTTTGGTTATTCAACGTGTCATTTTGTGAATGCAGGAAACACTTCTGAATTGATTGCTTCGCAGCTACTGCACTATAACCTTTATGAAACAGAGAGTTGAGATCAAAAGCAAAAATATTTGAGGCATTCTAACCAACATGTTTAGCTTTTAGAGTTATTCTTTCATATTGATTGATTATTGTAGCTTTCTAGATTACAGTTTAGATAGTTTCTCTGATCTCCCCCTTATGCTAACCTTTCCACATTCAATATTTTTTTTTCAAATACTGCATTTATATGAACCCATTCGGTATTATCTTTACTCTTATCATGTACTTGATGTGTTTGTTTCTAGACAAAGTCTTATTGATCTTCAACTATTTTATCTAATATGATATCTACATACACAGTCCTGCCATGCCATATATATATATATATATATGTGTGTGTGTGTGTGTGTGTGTTTATATTTAAAATGCAAAAAACAGTTGATTGAGTACTGATAAAACAGGTCTGGTGTGAGGAAAATGGATATGGCAGATGAAGGAAAGCCAAAAGTGAGAAGAGTAAGAGAAAAGAGATTGGGGAATGTGTTACATTTATATCTGGTGTGTTTTCAGTTCTCACCAGAAGAATAATGTAAGTTGAGATTCTCCAGCAAAGAAACTTAAAAAAAATAGTCCGGTCTCCAGCACAAGGTCGTTCATTTGCTTACCCGCCCGTACGGCGGGTCCGATCCTAGTAAAAATATAAAATATTCTTACAAGCAAATCGCGTGTTACCATATTATCATTCCTAGCAAAATAAAAAAAAATATAATTGTGTGTAGAGTGATATCAACAATATTAAAGTACCTCCCTAAGCTCAAATGCGATTTAGTGATATCAAAAATATTAAAGTAGTTCCCAGCTTATCGGATGCCTCCTAAACCTAGCAACCCTTAATCTCTCACTTTGTAATTTCAGAGACGACATTACCGATCCCATCTTCGGCTTCGTACTTGGGGACAGTCCCATAAAAAGATTCACTGATCAGAAGATAGATATATAACAAGAATGATAAATCCTATCTAGGGATTCACCGAGAATCCTAAGAAAGGCAAATCAAACCTAGAAGATGACTACAAATGTTTTGATTGATTGATTCCCGTCATAAGATAAATGCATACACATATAAGTGTTTCTAGTAAACCAAACTAAAACAATAAACCGGAATCATAAATGAAACTCTAAACCAGGAATAAACCATTATTCTTGTCACAAGATACGTTTATCATAAGCATGGATCATAAGTACGATAGTCGGTTGCTGCATATATATATGCGTGTACCGTGTTGCATCTCGTTTATTTTTTCGAAAAGCATTGGCGAAATGATGAGATAAAGGAACTTGAATTCTGAAATGTTAAAAAGCTATTCATTCATGATGGTCTTAACAAATTCTTGGATTCATATTTCAAAATAAAAGCATTTCCCTTATAATGTATATGTTATAACTTATAACTATATTATAAAAATATCCTTATAATAGTTGTATGCATGTTTTATTCAATAAATCATTTCTCGTAACAATAAGTCTTTTATGATATTTGTACCACTAAGTCTTCGTTTAAGTTTTTCATGTCAATATATGTATCTGTCATGGTTTATAAACTCTTCAGCTAATCATGTTACTCTATCAGTTTAAGACATTATCGGTTTTAAGATCTTGCGTGTTGTTTCATTTCTAAGTCTTAGAGACTATATAAAACGCTAAGTTTTTGTTGTTGTTCAAAAATAGAAAAGATTTAGAATTGGTAATATTAAAATCTCTTTCAGTTTATGTTCAATTAATAAAGAACTGGATCTAACAATTTTTAACTACTAGAAGCTTTCTTGACATGTTTGCTAGCATGAATCTTAGCATAAATCTCCTTTGTTCTATAAGCCAACAAAATGTCTAAACCAACTCCAATAACAGAAGCTAAAGCCATGACCAAGAAGATGAGACGGTAACAGTGAGCTCCTACGCAAGTGTTGCCTCCACCAGGAGTTGGTGTAGCCTCTGCATCGTAGAGAAATCCGGCAAGGAGACCAGAGAAGAGGAACGAGCCGAGGGGCAAGTTAAGTACTAACATGTTGTAGATGAGACCATAGTATTTGAGACCAAAGAGTTCTGATGCTGTGGGTACGGTAATGGCTAGACGGACACCATAACAAACTCCGACCACCATTGAACCGATGTAGAGTGAATTAGGCACTGCTAAAGCCATTAGTAGATATCCTACGGCCATGAGGATTTGAGATGCTGCGTTCCATAGTGGTCTAGGTGTTCCAGCTTTCCTATAGCAAGTAAGAGAAGATTTTACATTTTCTTATTAGTAAAGTAATTTTCTGGATTTTTAACATAAAAACCCCTCAACTAAATTTGTTTTGGGTAAAAACCCCTAAACTAAGTATTTTATGAAAAAACCCTAAACTAACTTTATTTAATGAACTAAACCCTCACCGGTCATAATTACCAGTACTACCGGTAAATATTTAGTTCAGGGATTTTATCATTAAACAGAAAAATTTTAAAAAAAAAAGAAAAAAATCAAAATATAATAACGCTATCTAAAAATTCGTAATTTTAATTTTCAAAACTAGCATTTTAAAATTTTCTGTAAATATATGAATGATTTCTTATCCTTGTAAAATGGATTTTTAACTCTAAAATACCTTAACTAAGTTTGTTTTGGGTAAAACCCCCCAAACTAACAAGTGAACCCCCATATTAAACATAGTTGAACGGTTTTTATCATCAAAATCTAAAAAAAAATGATAACATTATCTAAAAATTAGTAACTTAAATTTTTAAAATTAGCATTTTGCAAACTTTCTGTAAAAATATGAGTTTGATTTGTTTTAACATCAATATTATATATATAAATTCAAATTTTAAAACACAAAAATATAATAAAAAGCATCTAAAGATTTATTTTTACATTTTTATTAAATAAGATATAATTTTTATTATGTTTTCTTGTTTTTATATTTATAAATTTTGAAAATTTTTATTACAGGTAAATCGTTAGATAAATTTTCTTATATTTTCTTGGTTGTTACATTTTAAATATACATATATAGTTTTGATTTTAAAAGGATAACAAATCAGACTCAGATAGTTACAATTTTTTTTCAAAATGCTAGTTTTTAAAATTAAAATTACAAATTTTTAGATAATGTTATTATATTTTGAATTTCATTGATTTTTATGTTTAATGATAAAACCCCTAAACTGAAGATTTACCGGTAGTACTGGTAATTATGACCGGCGAGGATTTTTATCCAAAACAAACTTAGTTGAGGGGTTTTTATGTTAAAAATCCTAATTTTTTTTTAGTAAAGTAATTAAATCAACATGCTTTTTTCTTTCCTTTTGAACAACAAATTAAAAAAAAAAACATTAACATGCTTATTGATAATAATGCATTACATTTACATCATTATAATATTGAAGTCTGTAAAGAATCTAGAGAGGTAAATTCACGTGATGCGGAATTAAAGAGGGTGGTCCAAGTAAAAGAAAAGAACAAGAGCTAGTTTGGACATGTCTATGCACAAATACAAAAATTCAAAATGAAACAAACAGAGCAATCTGAAAAATCACTTTTATTTATATGAAAAGTCATTAAAGGAAGAAAATGCAGACAAACACCAAAACGCATTGAAAGTTGTGTGTCCATCTTTTTTTTTTTTTTTTTTTGTGTGTCCATCAGTGTGGATGTAAAATGTTCTACGTCACGTAATAGTTTTAATCTATATTTATAACGAGAGTAAAGCATAGTATCCCTGAGCTGTCAAATCTTTTATGGTGACTGTAATTTTTTTTTATTTTGGAAAAAACTGTAAATTTTAATATTATATCATTTTAGTCTAAAGTTAAATTAATCATAAATCTTCCAAAATCAAAATGTTAGCGTCCTGAGTATTTTTTTTTTTTTTACAATAAAAGAAGAAGAAAATATGAAAAGATCATGATTAGAATAGTTAGATACTTTACAAAAAAATTATGTATGTGAAAAGATTCTATAACATCTGCACACAGACACTAGTTTGAAAGCACCCGTAATGGTGATATTCATTAGAATTTTTAGTTTTTGATTTTTTAATTATTATTTATTTGCAAATAAAAAAAAGAAATGTTAACTAATTGTGAACAGACACGTATTATGGGACCCGTAAATAGTGTAAAAATTCACAAAAAAAGAATTTTTATTTAGAGATTGTTAAAGATAAATCCTTAATGTTTTATAAGATTTAATGATTATTTAATTTTTTTTTTTTTAAGATTTTTCTTTAATGATCACTGTTGCGGGTGTTCTGAATCTGACTATACTAATGGAAACTGACAACCTTTACATAGTTTTGAACCAAACATAGTTGGGGTTTTGTCAAAAAAAAAAAAAAAAACAGATCGAATAGTAAGTTTGCTGATACAATTGCATGGAACACAACTGAAGCATGTCGGTAGGTGCCCATTGAAAGAACCTAATTGGATTTTTAATTTTAAACTTATTTTCATAGTTTTAGAAAAATATATACCTTTCGAAATTTTTTAGAAAAATAAAAGAAACTGAAAATGTAATTCGCTGATTTGTAAAAAAATGAAGTACAGTAGGTGGAAACGTACTTGAGAAAGTGTTCGGAGAGAGTACCGGAGAGAATGCGACCGAAGAACCCCCAAATACTAGTCATGGAGACGAATATTGAAATATCTGTGTAACCAAGAGCAAGCCCTATCTGGCCCATATTGTTCATCACAGCTAAACCAGTTCCTACACCACAGAGGAACGAAACAAATAGCACCCAAAAGTCAACGGTCAAGATCGCTTCAACTATCGTGTGGTCTTCTCCCAACACCGGCCTCTTCTTCTCCGCCACAAGATTCTCCTCTTCCACCTCAGCCGCCGCAGCCGCTACAGCGGTTAATTCCTTATCCACAGCGATATCTGACCTGAGCAATGGTTCTTGAATCTGTCTTTCAACGTCTTGTTCACCACGATTTAAGCTCTTGATGAATGCATGGAAAGGTATGGCGATTGGAGAAAACAAGAGGAAGAGAAGAATGGAGGCGAAAGCGACTGAGAACACTCCGGTTTTGATTCCGATGATGTCGTAAGACTGAAGGTACACAGCAACTACAACCGCAACGATGTTGAAAACGGCGAAGTATCGAGTCTCTTCGTTCTCCTCGTCGGCGGAAGAAGCTGGAGGGATCTCTCGGAGGAAGAAAACCGCCGTGAGACAGACAGCGAAAGGGACGACGGCGAGTAAAACTAGAAACGACGCCGGATCGTTTGAGAACAGAGCCGTACAGAGATCGGTGAAAATTGCAGTGCTTAGGCCCACGTATCCTTTTAAGATCCCTGAGACGGGACCACGGTTTCGCCGGAAGTTTCGTATGCATGTCACTAGAACCGCTGTGTTCATCCACGTCGTGCTGTTTCCTCCCATACAGAGGAATACACACATCTGAAATCCAAACCCAAAATCTTGTCACAACTTGCATGTATGAGTTTCAGACACAGATAAAGAAGCATAAACTTTATTTGTAGTACCTGCCAATAAGGGAGCGGTTTGATGGTGCGGCTAACCACTAGCCATTGTACGCCATAGCCCAAAAGACCTTCGAAACAGCCTATAAGGAGGATAACTGGAGTGGGGAAACGGTCAGAGGCGAGACCAGCGAGGATTCCAAAGGCTTTTCCAACGTCTTTAGCAACGGAGAGGTTGTTGAGCTGGAGCTGGTTGAGGTTCATGAGGGACTTGAGAGCGCCGGAGTAGTTGGAGAAGGTGTAGTTGTTGCCGGAGATAGACTGAACCCAAACTGCCGTTACAAATCCAAGCCATTTCAGTGCAGGAGAGGAAGATCTCAGGAAACCCATTGCAGAAAGAAGAAGAAGATTTTCTTTCAAAAACAAAGAAAGAAGAAGAAGATCAGTTTGTGGGTCGTGGAGGTTTAAAAGTAAGAGAGGTTTTATAGAAGACAAAAGGGAAGGTTCTTTTTTATATATGAAAAAAAGAAAAAAGGGAAGGTTTACACTAAAATAAAAGAAAAAGGGAGGTTTCATTTGTGCGTGATTTTTATTCAATTAAATTCTTTTCCACATTTTGTCAAAATATCATAAAAAATGTTTTATTTAAATTTACAACTGGGATGAGAACAGAGAAGGTACGTCAACGTCATGTAGTACGGTTAAAGGTGGGCAAGCCGTGAATATATCACGACATGAAGTGATGAAACAAATGTTGCTCTCCAAAAAGAAAATTACCGAAAGGCGGTGTGCTCATATAATCTCTTACTAAGTAATAATCCGCGATTTTCGCAGAATAAAATTATTAATTTTATTATTTTTAAGATAAAGAAGATAAATATATTTAGTTTGGATATCGATTCGGTTTTAAGTTGTTATTTCTATAGTCTTCTAAAATATAACTATCATTCTAAATTCATAATTATTTTGGTTTGTTCGGTTAAAATATTTGATGTTTTTTAATTTTTTCGGTGATAACCACAAACTATTTTTATTTATTTGGTTTAGTGTTATATAAATTTTAAACACTTCTGATATTGAACTAATTGTTTCTTATTATAATTTTTAAAGACATGCAAAATCAAATCAACACTAAATAATAGTTGAAGAAAAAGAAAAAGAAATTATTAAAACAAATCATTTCACTACAGTTTGATCGATGGTGAAAGGAAGTATTAAAAATATATTCCAACTTCTAAGAGAATTAAAATTCTCACTTGTGCTGAATATTTAGTTTTATAGTTGTTCACGTCAATGTATATATATGTAACAGCATATAAATGTGGTGATAAATATATGGAGACAACGTTAATTAACATTAAAAAACAATTTTGTTTAAAACAATACATGATAGTAAATTTCTTAAAATAAAATCAAGTAAAACTAAAACAAACCTAGAAATTAGTAAACTTTTCGTATAAAAAAATCAAATCGTATCCGTAAACAATAAAAATATTATATATTACAACGTGATCTCTTTACTTGATACCTGAATTTTGTTTTTAATCGATTTTTTTGATTTTAAATTTTTCTAATTTCTGATTTTTATGGAAATTTGATTTTTTTCTAATTCTTGATCTGATATAAAAACTTTGTAAAAAAGATAATATTTGGCTAAACTAAAAATCCGACTTTGTGTATACAAAAACCTTAACCATTATCAACTTCAGTAAGGTACGAAACTTTCAATTTTATAAACATTCGCATCTCAACATTTTAGTTGATGCAAATCTTGAAGATTTTGTAATTTTCTTTTCAAAAATGATTATTTATTAGTTCTAAGTAGATAATTTTCGTTCACCAATACAAAAACTAAAATTATAGGAATTAAAGATGAATTGATTAAAAAATTAGTGTGTAAACATGAGTTGAGAAAATTAGTGTGTAAACGGATTAATTGTCAAATGATTCTGAGGCTAATACTTCAACATTCTAAAATTGAAATGTTTGTGAGGACGACACGTATCCGTTATTGTATGAAAACATTTAGTACAATGCTTCTCTTTTAATATATAGACTAGCTGATTTTCCCGTGCTCATACACGGGTATGAATATTTATCAAGTAAATATATTGTGGTAATATATTGTGGTATATTCTAATTTATTAATTTAGATAGTATTTACTTTTAATTATAAATTAGTTTATAATTTATATGTATAACTTATATTATATTATTTTAATTAGACATACGATTTGGGAGATGTTATATTTAATCAGTTTTTTTTTTTTGGTCAATAGTTGATTTGGTTAAACTTGTGTATTTTAGATTGCATCTCTGAATTTAACTATAATATTTTTCTTCTGAATATACTAAAACTTTGATTATTATTGCATTTAGATTGGTTATCATCTTATATATGTAAATATATTTTATTAAGTTTAGGTATAATTTAATATATATTATGCTTATGATGAAATTAAAAATAAACTGAAATTTTGATTCAAAATTACATAAATGGATATAACGATAATGTTCTGAAGTCTCATTCATGTATATAAATTTTACAAAAAAACTGAATTATAATAGTTGGTTAATAATTTATTTTTATATATTGATATTTTTGAGTCATCATGTAATCTATATGTATAAATATAAATAAATAATTATTCTAAAATTATATGTTCTTGTTGTAGTTAGATCTTTTATTTTGGATATAAGTTAGATTCTTTCCGTTACTCATTTTGTGAGTATATTGAGTTATATATATTTGCTAATTCAAATGAAAATATAATTATTTTTGTTCTAATTAAATCAAATCAGATATTTATTGCTCAATGCAAGTATTTTTATAATATTTTTAATAATTATATATATGTTGATTTTTAAAAATTATTAAAAAATAAAGTGACGATGAATAGGAATTTACATACATAAATATGAGTATAAAGATAAACTTTTGAAATTTCATGAGCATATATTAATATTTACAATAATTAAATCTCTACAATATTATTTGAGAAGTCTCTTAAAAGGTAATCTGAAACGTATTTTAAACAGTCTTAAAAATGAGAACTTAGATTTACTTGAGTATTTTGATTATTTATATATTAAGTTCCAAAAACATAAAAAATATAAAATTAAAAAGAAAACTAAATATTAAAAAGAATTTTTAATAATGATAAAATATTGTATTTTCATTTCATTAATATATAGTGCTACGCTATTTAAAAGGACTTTGAAATTATTTGATCAAAATATTTATTTTTGTTAAAAATATTTTTACTTTCTTTTTCAATATCTCTTAAATAAACACTAAACATGTTATTTTAGGAAAATTTCACAGAAATTATTAAATATCGTTTATATATAAAGATTTCTATTTCAGAAATATTTTCTTTTTTATTTATGTATTTTTAAAAAGTATACTTATATTAAAAAAAATTAAGTAAAACTTTTTATGAAAAAAGGAAATAGATTATTAATATCAATTAAATAAACACTAAACATGTTATTTTAGGAAAAATTCGGAAAAATTATTAAATTTCGTTTATATATAAAGATGTATACTTCATAAATATTTCCTTTTTTGTTTATGTGTTTTAGAAAAGTAAACTTATATTCAAAAATTAAGTAAAACCTTATTATGAAAAAAATAAATACATTATTAATGTCGATTTTATTTAATATTTTTAATTCATTAAGGGTATCTATGTAATCAACCACCGTGAGAGTTAACGTGAGCGCGACACGTATGAAAGTGACTTCCCAAATAATATTATAGAGATGGTAATATTTTTTTCAGTCTTTTAGAGCTAATAATAGTAGGTAGCCAACTAGCCTATTTTTTTTTTGGAGGTTCTATTTCTCGCCGATGCCGTTTAGGAGCTTCTCTTTTAATATATAAGAGAAGAGATAGTATTTGTTGCAGTCCTTTAGAGCTAATAATAGTAGGAGGCCAACTGGCTATTTTTTTGGGAAGTTATGTTTCTCGCCGTTGCTGCTTAGGAAGGAATATGCCTTCTCTTTTTTTTTTTTAGAATAATGATGCTTAAGAATATGTTTGTTCCTTCTAAACCTATCTATTGTACATATTATACTCCTAATCGAAGTTGTATATGAACAAGCAAATTAAATGTTATGATCTATCAATACATCTAAGGGCCAGGGGCTGACTGGTTAAGGATGTTATAATCTTCTCTACATGCAAATTTTAGAATAATAAGGTTTAACTTCGTATTTGAACTTCCATATAACTAAAAGCATTTTTAATTGATTTGCGGGTAAATGATCAATTTCCACACGAGAAATATCGTATTATAACAATTTCACACAAATTTTCATATTTGTCTTAACTGCATATATTCTAAGTATATGAACATATTTACCCTTATTTTCAAAGATCGAAACCCAAAAAACATAGATAAAAGTTTAGCTTGGTTTTACTGCCTTAGACTCTAAACCAATATCAAACCAATTGGTATAACATTAAAATTAAAACTCGACCCGACTTGATATTCAAATAGTATTCGATGCAACTCCTTAGTAGGATATTGGACTAGGTTCTATTTGAATATTAGGTCAGGTCGGGTTTTAATTTTAGCTTGATGATACCAACTAGTTTGATATCAATTTAGATTCTAAACCAGTAAAACCAAAATAAATTTCTGTCTATATAGTTTCAAGTTTCGATCTTTGAAAATTGGGTAAATATGTTCATATGTTTAAAATATGTGAAATTAGGTTCATATACTTAAAGTGCATGAAATTACAACAAGTATAAAAGATTGTGTCGATATGTTACTATATCATTTGTTTACCCTTGATTTGCATATTCAATTCCTTTCTTTTCTTTTTAGATTCAATTAATTTCACCAGTGCATCTGGTTCTTGATATTTCTATTATTCATACCTCTAATTCTATAAGCAGTAGTGTAAGAAGCATTTTTGTTTGGTTTAGTTTGTATTTATCTGTGATTTTATCTTTTTGCTGTCAATCTATTTTGATATGTACTACTGATTACAAATTAGCTACGGAATATATATTCATAACTTTTTTTTATATATTTATATGTGTAATTTCTTGTACTTTTCATTTTGTCTGTTATATTATCACTAAACCCTACGGGCAGATATGCAAGTGAAAAACAATATAAAAAATATTTTAAATTTTAATATATATTTAAAATATTTACTTTACTCTTTAAGTAATGTTAACATTCATCAGTTATTTTTTGTTACATTTTTTAAAAATCGTAGACTTATCTAATGAATTAAAAGAAATTTTAATTTTAATGCATGTAACTATTTTACATTTTAATAATTTTTAATTATAATAATAAATAAAAAAAATTGTTCAGAATTATGATTGAAATTCAGCACATAAAATATGGATTATTTCTTTCTTATAC